CATCCAAGAAGCTTCTAACAGGATAGTGGCGAATGGAAGGATTTATATTCCTTGCACACAGCTGGTCTTTTAGAGGGTCATTGAAGCACTTGGAGGTTTATCTGTGTCCTCCTGGTCATCTAAGTAGTGCCCCTGGTTCCTGTAGTCTGCAATTTTCCCCCTGCAAATCAATTCCTACTCACATACCATTCAAAGGCTGTTCATCCCAAATTGTATAGCTAAAAGTCTATAGAGATTCGTAGTCATCCACTTCATGGTTGTCCCAAAGGTGCTTTTTCAGCTTCTTGGATGAGAAGTGAAACATCTTCAAAAGAAAAAACAAGAAAGCCCAGTTGCCTCCTGAAAAAGCACCTTTAGGGCAACCATGACCGGGATGACTGAGAATCTCTATGGACATTCAAGCTAGATGCAAATCCTATGCCTTAAATGCAGTATTAGATACTGCTGGCAGTTCACTTTTAAGTTCACTCTTGACTATACATATTTGCTTTGCCAACTCAGAAGTAGCACTTACTGACCCATCAAATAACTGGAAATATTTTTCTGAAGGTTGAACTTATTTTTCAGCAAAGTAACCAATTTCCCAATTCAGAGTTTTCCCCCTTTTGCCCCAGTATGCCTTTAAACCAGTTATTGATGAAGTTAATCTAATAGGCCACAAATAGCTTGAATTATGATGGGTTTCTAAAAATTATGTAATAATGTTAGCATCTTTGAACAGTATTTCACCATGCTGCCAAATTCAACTGGGAGAACATTTGGGCAAATTTTAAGGTCAAAATGCCATAGAACATATTACATAATGGTCATTTTTTGAAACAAACAAACACACACACACACACACACACACACACACACACACACAAAATACGTGTGATACAGCAAATTGGGTGAAAATAGTGGCTTTTGTGGATCTTATGAAGATGGTTGAAAATGTAGATAATTGAATTCATTGATAACAATTTCAAAACCCAAGGTATACTTTTTAATTTTCCTCTGAACTTTGTAGGATTTTTAAAAGGGTATTTGTAGTTTTCTATCATTCAATAAAACCACTTCTCTGAATTTGATTTTTAGAATGCATTACTATGCATTTTAGAATATACGAATATAAAACAAAAATATTTGAATAAAAAAAACCTTGATGCACTGCTGTTTACAATTGTTCTGGAACCTTGAAAAGAGCTGAAAAAATACAGTCGTCTTATTTACTTATGTAGAGGGCAAGATGACCTTCATGGGAGTATTCAGAAACTATTACTTAGACAAAAGGCAGTGGAATATTTTTTTTTTAAGTCAAGAACAATGCAATAACATTTGGAAGTGGCTTAGGCAGATCCCTCCCTAAATCCCTGGAGTTTAAGGAGGAAGAAATACAGAACAATCAGACTTGCCAGATTTTGTTACTATAACTCATTGCAATTAGAGTAGTTTTAACCTTTGCATGTATTTGATTTTATGATCCGATCTATCTGTTGGGGCTAATAAATGCAACAAACACACAGAATCCACCACTCTCTCCTAGCCTTGAGGAAGGGGCCAGGTTTTCAAGGTCATTTAAAATATTGCTAGGGATGTGACCAAATATATCTTGAGGGGATGCTGCTCCAGAAGGCTTCCTCGGTCCCATCAAGTGGCACTGTTTAATGGATGGTGCATGGAGTATGCTTACTCTCCCAATTGTACAGGCTGAACAAAAGCCCTAAAAGGTATGGCTGTAGATAACTAGACCTATGCCATAGCCAGTGGTAGAGAATCAGGGAGCTGATCTTGAGGGAAATGGGGAAGAACTGTTATATAACCCAAGAAGATTGAAACATTCCTTGAATCCTGGGAAACAAGATAGTAATTACTGTAGAAGAGATTCAGGCAGGCTCCTCCCTGATTTACTGGAGTATGGGGCTGGGGTCCAATCAGATTGCAAGATTCCATTATTATAGCCCACTCAATAAAGTATAATTCTAGTCTTCCTTAGAATCTGTTTCTTTCCTTGACTATTCAACAACTGAGGACTCTCCCCTCTCTTTATTTCCTAGGCAGCATATTTTCCCTTTATCTCTCAAGGTCATCTCACTACAAATCGTTATACTTTTGCTCAGTTTTCTCAGAAGTAGATGCCAATAATTAAATAGTTGGAGGATCCTACTAATCCTTGCAGTGCAGGTTCTTTTCCATGTTTTTAGAGGTGGAGGTGAGCTAGCTCACTTAAATAAAACAATGGGTCCCCATCAGTGGTGGGTTTCAAAAATTGTTGGAACCTACTCTGTGGGTGTGGTCTCCTTTGTGGGAGTGGCTTGCCACCTATGTGACCGGATGGGAGTGGCTTGCCCCCCATGTGACCGGATATGAAATTATGAATTAGTACTTAGGTTGGTCCAAGTAGCTATTCAGAAACTCTGGCATTGAAGCATGCAAGTCTTAAAGCTGTCAAGTTACAAGATCCTTGCCAGTGGTGGGTTTCAAAAATTTTTGGAACCTCTTCTGTGGGTGTGGCCTGCTTTCCGGGTCCACTGGTGGAACCTCTTCTTACCGGTTCGGTAGATTTGACGAACCGGTTCTAGCAAATAGGTGCGAACTGGTAGGAACCCACCTCTGGTCCCCATGATATTCATCACAGTGTTTTGAGGAAACTACTGCATCTGCTTGCTGGACTATTAATTCATCTGTTAAACCAGTCTATACTACAATTTAACCTGAAGTTCCCCAGGGCTGGTTAACAGCTAATGTTATACCCATCCACAAGAAGGGGGGATAAGGAAGAAGCTCACTATACATCAGTGAGAGTAACATATATAGTAGTGAACTCACTCTTGGAAAAAAGGATGAATAGCATAGCAATAGCACTTAGACTTTATACTGCTTCACAGTGCTTTACAGCCTTCTCTAAGCTATTTACAGAGTGAGCACATTGCCCCCAACAATCTGGGTCCTCATTTTACTGACCTTGGAAGGCTGGAAGGCTGAATCAAACTTGAGCCAGTGAGAATCGAACTGCCAAATTGCAGGCAGCCAGCAGTCAGCAAAAGTAGCTGCAGTACTGCGGTACCGCAGCTCATTTAAATGTTAACAAACATTTAAAAGCGCACAACTTGATTGACCCAAAGCATCATGGCTTTACTGAGGACAGATCATGTCAAACTAATCTGGTTTGACTTTTTAAATTATGTCACAAATATATTGGACAAAGTAGTGCTGTGGACGTAGTCTATATTGATTTTAGCAACACATTTGATATTGTTCCACCTAATGAGCTCATTAAAAAGTTGTACAGGCTAGAGATTAACCACTGGACAATCCAATGGATAGGAAGTTGATTCAGAGATAGATCCTAGTGTATGCTTGTTAATGGGACATCTTCTAAACAGAGACCAGTCACAAGTGGTGTGCCACAAGATGCAACAGAGTTGGTGTTCCTGAGGGTATAACATGGGAAATGATTTGGCATTGGTGGAAAATTGGTCAAAAATGTGGAAACTGCAGTTCAATATTTCTAAATTTAAGGTCATACACTTGGGGAAAAAGAATCCCCTGCCAGAGTGCAGTACCAGATCTACAGTGTTAAAACAGCAGAAGAAAACGATTTAGGTTTGCTCGTAGCAGATGACTGTAAAATGATTGAACAATGTGGCCAGGCACATTGTAAAGGCAAACAAAATTCTAGGATGCATCACCAGAGGGATTACCAGCCGGAAAAATGAGGTCCTAATATAGGGCTTTAGTCAGACCCCATTTAGAACACTGTGTCCAGTTCTGGAGACTCACTTAAAAAAAGATTTTGATAACATTGTGTGAGTCCAGAGATGGGCAACAAAAATGGTGCAAGGTCTGAGGGACAAAACATATTAGGAGAGATTGGAGAAACAGAATATAGAATAGAATGACAGAGTTAGAAGGGACTGTGGAGATGTTTTAGTCCAACTCTGTGCTCAGACAGGAAACCGTGTACCATTTCAAACAAATGGATGTCTAATCTCTTCTTAAAAACCTCCAGTGTTGGAGCATTCACAACTTCTGGTGGCAAGTTGTTCCACTGATTAATTGCTGTCAGAAAATTTCTCCTTAGTTCTAGGTTACTTCTCTCCTTGATTAGTTTCCATTCTTTTGCATTCATTGCTTCTTGTCTTGCCCTCATGTGCTTTGGAGAATAGCTTGACCCCCTCTTCTTTGAAGGGAAAGGGGTAGATGATTGAAACCTTTACATATATTAAAGGTATGAATAAGTTCCAGAAGACAGTATTTTCAATATTAAACAAAAATAAAGAACACAGGGGCATAACCTCAAATACACAAATATAAAATAAATAATATAAATTATATTCTTTGTTTTCAATCACTGTATATTTGCAACCGGTAAACATCTTTTCTCCTAGTAGTTCTGCAGCTCCTGGCACTGGTTGCTCAGCCAACAGTCTTGAGTCCTGTACTCCATTTTTCACTAGATATACAGGAACTCCAACATCTAGTGCAGACCTTGTTAACCCAGGCGACATCTGAGTCAGTGTGGCTTTCTGAAATTTATGTCTCACTGTATTTTTTTTTAAATGGGAGAGACATTCTTTGTCTGACTCCTCTGATAAGACCTATTCAGTATGGCTGAACCCCTGGCATAGCTCTCATCTTCCTCAGAGTACGGAAGCCCCACAACCACATCAAGGCATTCAAATAGACATGAAACTGCCACATAACACCCCATACTTAACAATTATTGAAGAAAGACAAAAAAGTCTGAATAGTGGATATCGCACTACCTGGAGACAGCAGAATAGAAGAGAAAGAACTGGAGAAGATAACAAAATACAAAAACCTACAAAGAGAAATAGAACGGCTGTGGCAAATACAAGGAAGAGTAGTACTAATAGTAATAGGTGTCTTGGGTGCCAAAACAACTGGAGCACCACTTGAACATTCTCTGGCACTTTACAGTGGACTGCTTTTGAAGACCATTTTGAAGCAGAAATTGGCTTGCTGGCAAACAAGAATATCTATGTAGCTCCTGGTTGCTAATAGGTTTTCAAGTGCAATTCAAAGTGTTGTTGAATTATAAAGCCCAATATGCATTGACTCTTAGGCTTCAGAAGTACTTCAGGATAGACTTCTTTAGTTTTCTGGTATGCAATTCCTAGCAAAAAGTGTTAATAGTCTCCCAGAGAATAAGGGGGGATTGGGTTAACAGACAATGTTTTTTTTTTATAGCACTCCATCAATTATGAAACAGCTTCTCTCTTTCTCTAAAAGGCCACTCTAATGGATTCTGAACTAGTAAAAATGAAGCTTTGCCAGAGAGCATTTGGAGAATGATGAATGTGCATGATTTGTATTGCTATAATGTATTATTATGATTATGATTGTATTTTGGTCTTAGTTTTAATATGTTTTTGTTGTTGTAAACGGACAGAAGTGTGCACAAATCACAACACGGTCCATAAATGGCACAAATAAATAAAACATACATAATGTGTAAGGAAGACATATAAAACAAGATCATGTTAACTTGGTAAAGCAAAACAAAACAAACTTGGAAAAATATTCAGCAGCAGGAAAGGCAAAGAAAAGTGGAGCAATAATTTATCTATGTTCAGTGATCCGGACCCTACCCACTCACATGGCCTTCCGAAAGGCTATTAAAACCTGGCTATTCCGGCAGACCTGGGGCTGTTGACCTCTTGACCGAGGTCCAGCTCCAATTAGACTGGGTGCATGATGTGCTTTCTTTTAATCTGTTTTTCTCCGTTTGTTTTTAATTTTTAACTTTTAAAATTTATTTTCTGTAAGCCGCCCGGAGTCCTTCGGGATTGGGCGGCCTATAAATTTATTAAATCAAATCAAATTTATTAAATCAAATCAAATTTGAAAACAGAAGATAGATCTTTAGCACTACCTTCAATCTATGTCCCACATAAAATCCAGAAATAATTTTAGGAAAATTTTTGCAATAACACAAATCATGAAAGTAGAAATAGCCATTGTGGGAGATATTAACAGAGTGATAGATTTGAATGCAGACAAATCATTTCAAAGGGGGGGGGGAAGGAAAACATCTGAGAAATGTTTTCGGTATATGAATACATTCTTTGATAAATGTTTGGACATAAAAAAACTCCATTCTCAGCAAGACATCAAATGTACGCAAGAAGTGTTTGTTGGGTCTCTAAGGCACATTCCACAGGAAAATGGAGAGACTTTCAGTGATATATGCAATTTTATTAACATGGTTCCAAGGGGAATACATGGCATGTAATGACACATAAATTGGCACATAAAGGAACAAATGGCACATAGTTACTCCAATGAGGTATATTAGAAAAGTGTTAAGAAAGCAGCCATCTTCATTGGGAGCCCAGCCTTCTCTGTGGAAAATGATTAGCTGTCCTGCTGTTTTCTTCCTTCTGATCTTAAAAAATAAATATCCATGCTAGGCTAGCCTAAGCAAGGACAGAGCCACCCCATGGATTAGTGGTAATGACTTAGCCCTTTTCACCCCAGATCTTCAGGGGAACTAAATAAAACCAAACAAATAAAAAAAGGACCGCCTCAATTGCTACTCTTTTCACAAAACTGTTCTGTGTGGTACTCCTATTTCTGAAAGAAGTATCACATTCAGAACAGTATTCTGGAGGAAGGGTTAACACTATGTTAATCAACTTTCCATGTCTCTGAAAATTGATCAGCAGAAGGTCTGTGTAATCTAATACTAAACAGAGTCTGGCTTGGGTTAAAACTGAGTCCTAACCCATGGATGATTGGGTTTGCTCTATGCAATAGCAATAGCAATAGCAGTAGACTTATATACCGCTTCATAGGGCTTTCAGCCCTCTCTAAGCGGTTTACAGAGAGTCAGCATATTGCCNAAGACCATTTTGAAGCAGAAATTGGCTTGCTGGCAAACAAGAATATCTATGTAGCTCCTGGTTGCTAATAGGTTTTCAAGTGCAATTCAAAGTGTGTGTTGTCTTGTTGGCATTGACAAATTCACCACCAGTCAATTGCAAAAGAAGGTTTTACTTGGAACAGTTTCCATCCTCTGACAATATCACTAACACCATCAAACATTCAGATCTGCCTATCCCAGGTTCTTGGTAAGGACTTGATAGGTAGACAAAAATGCCAAACCCAGTCTGAACATCTGGCTACTGTTTTGATGAACAACAACAACAATAATAAAATAAAAAAAAATAAAAAGTAATAATTAAAAGAGGACCTTCGAGAGCAGGACACTACAACCAGAGTATAAGCTGTCGATATGTTCAAGCAGAGCCATGCTTATCATGGCAGCAGTGAAATGCCAAGCAATTTCAGTATAAATATTCAAAATAACTTTTAGGACTTCTCAATCCCATATTCAAGACCACCTCTACTAGGTGAGGAATGGAAACTGTTGGGCACAGGCTAGGCAATCCATCACCAGAATCTTTAATTTGTCTTGAGTGCTCAATCAAAATTTCAATCTGTTGTGTTGAATGGACAGGAATCCTGAGGAGAGAAATAAAAAAAAAAACCTTATTTATTAGTCTTAAAATCACCACCTTGCAAATGGGGGAGGATTGATAAGAAAGAGGTAGTGACGATTATGGAATGCCTTAGGAACTGGATTGCTAGTTCCTTCTTGTACTGGGGTTCCAATCCAAGCATAAGATGGATGGTCCAGCTCACTCCAATGGATGACCTTTGTCATGACCCAGTTGAGGGAAGAGGGTGTGTTGCTTCTAATCTTAGTTTTCTCAGCAGCATTCACTACTGACCATGGTATCCTTCAGGATTTCTGTGGAATGAGCCTGGAGTTGCCATGGAAACGTTGATCCAGTGCCTAGAGGCTGTTAAATTCGAAATTAGAAAAAGCAATCTTAGTCTGAATCCTCTCAAATTGCTGTTTATTTAGAAGGGCTCTGGCAATAATTATAGAGGGGGTGGGACTATACAGGAAAAAGTTCTTAGGTGGTTGGACTCTTCTTAGATTCATAGCTACTGTTTCATAGGTAAGTGAACGCCATGCCCAGGAAGGCATTTGTTTAATTTCAGCTGGTTGTCCCAGTTTCATCTCTACTAGGAGAAGGAGGTCCTGACAATAGTGTTCCATGCTTGTATCAGAACACAACTGGACTATTCTCTGGCACTTTACAGTGGACTGCTTTTGAAGACCATTTTGAAGCAGAAATTGGCTTGCTGGCAAACAAGAATATCTATGTAGCTCCTGGTT